TGTATCATTTCTATACATGTGGTGGGACTGTTTCATTTATATATACGTGTAGGGATTGTTTCATTTTTATACAAATTGTGTGTCTTATTATTTGTATCGATGCTTATCGATTGCGATGCGATGGCCACTGGAGTGGTGCTTGTAAATGGCGATGCGGTAGCCACTGTAACATCGTCATCCTCCCTTGCAGCATGAAGAATTTCAAAATTCAAGCAAATTATGCTGCTCCATTATCATTAATAATTTAGTCATCAATATCGTCGTTTTCTGAAGATTAGTCTACTCGATTTAGGATAAGTTTCACGATATCTATAAGACCACCGTCATCATCTTGTTCATCAGAAGGTTGTGTCACGTCATTAACTGTAACCGAAATTATATCATATAGGCGCAAATTCCGTTCAGCATCAGATATGAGCCACAATTTAGGATCGGTATATCTTGGTCTCTATAGGCCATCAAACTATAACATTGATAAAAACGTGTAATTATTGTAATAAACATTTAACGAACATTTATATATATAAACAATAAATTAAAAAAAATAAAAAAATTAGCCTTTTGGATAAACGCTTGGTCTGCTTACAAAACCGGCGTTCCACTTAAGTAGCGAAAATGGCTGCCCTGACAGGAATAATGATCTCGCGGGATAAACCTACCATATGCACGAGCTAAATTTAACATTCGAAGCACAGACGCATTACCGATGAGTTATGCGCACATCGCGATTTCCTAAGTAGATGGCTGGATGGGCCACTAAATGGTTTAAAATACATGATCTCCAAATAAGGACCATGGCAGCTCATGGGTTAAAGCTTTTGGCTCAGAATTATTTTCTGACAGTTCATTAGGATCTTTCAAAATCTAGGTGCTCTGACTCAAATCAATAACCTTTTGGTGGTGGAAAAAATTGTATAAAAACTCTTCATTTACCCACATTGACACACATATTAATACAATAGTCTTCAGATTATGTCCACTATCTCACATCTCTATCAAACAAGCCTCTCTATACTGATGTATCAATTCACTCCTCTGGAAACCATTCTTAGGTTTTATCTTAATATAAAACAGTCCCTTGATACTTTTTAGAAAACTCTTCATTTGCAATCAGCAAACTTAATCTTGGATGGCATAAGCCATCCCCCCCCCCCAACACACACACACACACATACACACACAAAAAACTTGATACTTTTTAGAAAACTCTTCATTTGCAATCAGCAAACTTAATCTTGGATGGCATAAGCCATCCCCCCCCCCCCAACACACACACACACATACACACACAAAAACACCCCCGCCCCCCCCCACACTCACACACACACTTACACGACGGTATGCCCATTCAACAAAAACTGTATTAACGTAAATGATTACGATATCGATTTTTGACTGAAATCTTGGCCAGTGCATTACCTTTAAATCAATTTTCTAAATGACAGCTGATCATCTTAAGGCCATATCCTATTATATTTAAGACGTCACCTTGGCACATAGGATTAGAAACATGATTGATACGTTTGTCGATTCTTTAAGTTGAATAACATATTATAAACAGACTCTAACGTGGGCTGGAGACAGAGAACAAGACAGAACGACAATGTTCGCGCTGGTATGTCTTATCTGTTAATTTTGATGTGTTGAAAAGTTTTTAAATGCATACTGCAAAAATTATGTTGTGAGAAAAAAACGTGTATTACTGCATTATGTTTAATATTATATTCTTTCCAAACGCCATAATATACTCTTTAAGAACCGTTTTAAGCATATATGTCAATTAATAAGGACCGATTAAAACTAGATTATTTAGACAGGTGTATTCAGTGAAAGCGACTTCAATTGCATCTGTCTAATAATATCGGGCCACAATGATAGCAGTTGTGTATTATATTGCTGAAATAGTAGCATTGGTTTATTCTATCTTGACACAATAGAACCAATGCTGTCTTATATCTGATCAAAATAATAGCATTGGTGTATTTGATGTGACCATGAAAGGATCAGAATTGTCTTATATCTGGCAATGAGTAGCCTTGGTGTATTGTATATGGCCAAAATCTGATCTAAACTGTAGCATTGGAGCATTGTATCAGACCAGAATAGAACTATCGCTGTCTGATATCTGCCCACAATAGTAGCATTGGTGTATTGTATCTGGCCACAATAAAACCAGTATTGTTTTTTTATCTGGCCAGATGGTAGCCTTTGTGAATTGTATCCGGCCACAATATAATCATTTTGTCTTATATCTGGCCAGATATTAGCCTTAGTGTATTGTATATGGCCACAATCGAATCATATTTGTCTTATATCTGGCAATATAATAGCATTGGTGTATTGTATATTGCCACAATAGAACCATTGTTGTCTTATAATAGTAGCCTTGGTGTATTGTGTCTGGCCACATAGAACTGTTTTATTATAATATTGTGTCACAATCGTACGGTTGAAGATAATATCTTGCCACAATTGTACCATGGATGTTTATATCAGGCGATATTAGTACCATTCCTGTATTTATTCTTTTCCAAAAAAGACCATTTTTGTATAATATATTGCAAGAAGAGTACCTTTGTTGTATTATAATAAGAGTACCTTTGTTGTATTATAATAAGAGTACCTTTGTTGTATTATAATACCATGCTAACACTTGCGCACCGTGCTCTTAAATTTCAATTAACTTTGATTTAATTTTCACACTATAAATATTTACAATAGATTGGATTAACCTAGAAAACTCTTTACTTACCAACACTAAGTAACTTAAGGTTGTACGTGGAAAGAATTTTTATTTTTTTTTTATGTCAGGAAATTGGATTTTAGAAATTGGAAATTAGAAAACAATTATTACAATTGTCTCCGTTTTGAAGATCTGTTTATGATGCCCCCCATCCCCCCCCCACCCCGAAATGTTAATATTCGTGTTGGTGACATTTGATAACCACTCTAGGGCAGTGGACGGCCAATCTCGGCTCGCAAGCTGCTTAAAGGCTATTTCGCGATTTCAGTGAGGCTCAGCCAGCCACAAATCGGTTTTGACTCCGAATGAAAATGGTCTTTTTGGTACTCAATATTTTTTTTAAATCGTCCTGCTGATGATTTTTGTCTGCTTTGACTAACGTGTTTGCCGACCACCTCCCTAGGGGCACGACTTTGGATTCATACACACATCCATTAAGACACATAAACCCTTGATTTATTCCATTTGATGAATAAAAATAAAGTTATATATTGCCAACATTTTACTGACTTATAAAAAAAGTGTGATACACTAAGTAGTGTAAGTTGGTCTATTGGGCTGAACCGAAGAAATAGATTTACTAAAGGAAGATCACGGATTACATTGGTTGTATCGTTCTCCCCATGAAAAGCTCTCCCCCGCATCCTACATTTGCTGGTCTATTTTACTCACAAACGTTCTTACGCTTTGTAGGCACTCATTCCTTTTCACACGGCAACTTTAATCACATGTGAGGCACTCATTCATTTTTCACACGGCAACTTTAATCACATTTGCGGCACTCATTCATTTTCACACGGTCACTTCATTCCTCCGATAATAACATGGCGATAAGTGTTCTCACCTCGAAAGTATGAAAATCATCAAGGTTGCATCAAATAAAATTCTAAAGTTAACAAGTTTATGTTAACAGTTTTTGATATATAAAAAAAAAGGTGGTTGAGGGGGGATATATATAAGTTAGATATATTTAAGAATTTAAGTTATCAATATATTTAGTAAGAGTCTTGTTTTTTTTATAAATACAATCTCATGACGCAAATTTACTTTTCCTTTGCAGAGAGTCTTCGCGTGTTTTTTCTTCATGTGCTCTGTAGAATCAGGGTTACAGGAAGGTAATTATTACTTCGAAAAGAACTGCATTAATAAAAATCACATAAGCAAATGGAGGACCTTAACAAAAGTCAAATATAAATGATTGGTGGCGTATCGAAATTTAAAAAAAAAAAAATATGTTTGACTTTTACCATGAAAACTTGCCAAAATACCTGGAACATGACAAAAGAAGAAAATTATTGTTTAATTAATAAAAGAATATTTATTTTTTAAAGAGCAGGAAAAGTCTGAGACAGGGCCCGAGACACACACAAAACTAAAAAGCATTAATTTTATTTATAACTACATATATCCAGCCAAACAATGGTTATTCACAGTCACCTGCGCATAAACCTGAGATTTATTCCCAGCCGACTGCGTATATTATTGATGTATCGTTTTTTTAGTTGTACATTTCTCTTACTCCTGTTACTTTTATAGCCTTTCCCATTTCTTTTGCCCTTGATATCTGAACAACGTTGCATCAACGTTGTTGAGCTCACGCAGGACGTTACGAATCCCAACAAACAAATGCTGGCTTTTCTGCCCGTCAACACCATCAAGGCGCTCAAAGCTCATGATAAGCAGAAAAAATAACATCTTTATTACTTATGGGTTTTTCCCCATGCCATCAAAATGTTTGATCTATGTTGTTTGTTGAAGCTGAGATTTATGTTGTAAGATTAATTCATTTCAACTATTTGGTACAAAAATTAGTCATTGAAATGATAACACTCATGCAATAACACCAAAGCCATCCCAAGCACCCCGGGTGGATGGGACTCGCTAGCCTTGGACGGCAACCCATCTAAGAGAAGGCAAACTCTGAATTTAAACCAGGAGCCAGAATGATCAACAAATTGATCGTGGGCCCCTCAAATATAAGAAGAAGAAGAATTTGAACACAATTAAAGCATTATACGTTAGACATCAGCCGTTACAAGTCCGAAAACTATGCAACAAAAATGCTAGAAGCTAAGATACTAATTGAACGTCTGCCATCAATGTACTCAATTCCTATTTTAATCATCAAATCAGAAACAAAATCCAACATCCCTTTCCAAAAGAAATAAAACCCATTGTAATAATCTAAAACCGTTCCTTACATAAGACGGAATACATTTTTTAAGCAATAAATTGCCCACGTTTTCGTTTCACTCACAGAGATAATGGTCAAAGTATGTAGAGATAAAATAGTTGGAAAGTACCCGAATGTTAAGGACTGCAGCAAGTACTTCCAGTGTGTAAATGGCCAGTTGCACACAGTGAAGTGCATTACCGGTCAATCATTTGACGAAGAGGTAGGATTTATGTTTAAATTTGGGCAAGTTACGCACCATGAAGTGCATTACCGGTCAATCATTTGACGACGAGGTAGGATTTATGTTTAAATTTTGGCCAGTTGCGCACCATGAAGTGCATGGCCATCGAATTTTTTGACGTAGAGCTAGATTCTAGCATTGCTTGATACTGATGTAGGTTTAAAATTAAACCTATTTTTGGATTGGTATGCAGTAGTAATATACGTTTAGGGTTATTATACGTTGTGTTTAAATGCACGTTTCAGGTAAGGGAAGTATGGTTGATTCCGTTTTCCTGGTGTGGTTGGCACCACTGCTAAAATAAAATTTGGCTATAGTTTAGTTTCTGAAGGCATGCCAATAACAGGGACCCGACAAGCCGGCAATGCAACCTCGTCCTATAGACTATGGCATTGGATATTGAGGCGACGGCAGCCTCAGCTGCGGGAGAGTCCTACGTAAGGAGAATGTTATATGGCGCGGCAAAGACGATGGAGCAGGTTGCGTATGTACTAGCCAGGGTTTTAAGACCGTAAGGTCAAGCCCAAAAGAAGAATAAGAATATTAGTCTCGGTTGCTGAAGGCTAGGACTCCGCTGGTCAGTTCGGCAGTCGAGTTTAATTATGAGGCGGACAGTAATGGCTTTTCCCCACTTTGAAAATGTCTTACTAGTCGTCCTACATGGGAATAAGTTCTTGTACACGCATGTGCTGTTACAGTAAGACATATCCTCATGTTACAGTAAGACATATCCTTATGGTACAGTAAGACATACGCTGATATTACAATAAGACATATCCTTAAGTTACAGTAAGACATATCCTTATGTTACAGTAAGACATACCCTTATGTTGCAGTAATACATATCCTTATGGTACAGTAAGACATACCCTTATGTTAAAGTAAGACATATCCTTATGTTACAGTAAGACATATCCTTTCGTACGTTGAATTTCTATGTTAAATTAATTATTTTTTCATTATCCGTGTCATATTCAGTCGTTACAATATAAGTGCATTGAATGAGCGAATAATTAACATTATAAGAAAAAAATAACTAGTATTAAATTTTTTGGGGGTTTAATTTGCCTGCCCCCCCCCCTTCCACTCACTCCCAATGCTTGTTTAATGATAAGCTATATATTGTTTTGAATGAGTAGTAATTACTTTGCTTTGTTTTTATTTTAAAAGTTTCCTTTTATTATTTTTTAAAATTTTTTTGGAGCGGTGGAGGTATTTGGATATTGTTTGTGGAAGTTGTTGTCCTTGTGAAATGCATTGACATTATATAATGAGATGGGGAAAATTTTAGACTGTGGGTGCATTAAAACTTTCTAGATCTTCGAAGGGTATGGAAAAATGTGTTATATGGACAGTTGATTCATTTAAACTTCTAGGTTTTCGGGCGGGGGGAGGGGTGTAGATGGGTAAAAAAGTGTTACATGAGTGATATATAGCCTTAGAGCAGTCTGAGAACACAAGCAATACTGCTCCTTACATCGCGGAAAGCACAATCATAGAGGAAAAATGTTTCTTTTAAAATTTAAGCTAAAATCGATTGTTATAAGTCTCGGTGGCCGAGTCTCGGTGGCAAAAACACCACCCCGGGTAGATGGGACGCGTTAACCTTGGACAGCAACTCATCTAAGAGAAGGAAACTCTGAAATCAAACCCGGAGATGGAGTCCCGAAAGGCGGATAACATTGATACAATGAAACATTCCGACAACTCCTGCGACGTCAATGGCGCCAAGCTGTATCATCCAATGATGTTCCCTTGGGTTACCTTGGGTTACCCAGTGGCGTGGAGAGAGGCGATTTGCTGTTGGGAACCAGCTTATAGTCCTTCAAGTATAATAATTCCAGGCTATGTGGATTTCGTCATACGAAGCCCACTCCATTGTGACGGACGGATGCCAGACTTTAATAAGTCTATTATTAATTCCGTAAAAGTAAGTGTGATATATATAAATAAATTGTAAAATACATATACATATATAAATATATGTATATATATATATATATATATGTGTGTGTGTATTTTAATATTGTTATTTATATTTATCAACATTTTGTGTCACCTCAAAGTATCGTAGGTGCATGAGAACTGAGGACGCTACGTGTGCACCTGATAACTTAATTGATGACAACAAGCAACCAACTGTAAACGTTATTAAACCCATTTCACTTCCGGAACCTCAACACACAAATGTTCCATCAAGTAAGTGAAACTTATCGGGGTCTAAAAAATAAAAAAATTAAATATTTTTTTACCAAAACACGTTTTTAAAAGTGTAAAATAAAGTTACCCCAAACGTCATTTTTGATACAGTCATGTGACTAAGACAACTCGAATGTCGTCCACGAACTCCATTTTCTTTGTTTAAACACAATAGGAGATGGAATAGTGGGTCAAAATTGGGATGCACTATTTGACCACGCTGAAACTAACAAATGGAATTAGAAATATAAGAAAAGTCAAAGGTCATCATTGTACGTCACGGTGCTCCACGCGTTTGTAGTCACATGGTTGTAATAGCTCTGAATTTTTTAGGGCTTTTAAAATAAAATAAAAATTAGAAAAAAGTTGTGAAAAATATATTTTCAGCAATAATTTTGTTTTTCATTTTAAATTTCGAGTCAAAGTTAAAACTCAGACGGACATTTTAAAGTGCGAACATTAAGAAGAACATTTAACACCATAGGTCAATCGATGGCCACTGAATGTCCATGGTAACCTACGGATCGTGTACGGTTGTATTGTCATCTGGTATTTATTAAGTTTACCATGTTTCAGCTCTTTCGGAGTTTAGGACTTTATTTAAACCTGGGATGCATCATTTGACCCGCAGAGGACACTAAAGTGTGATGATGATTGATTACTTGTATACCGCATGTGCCCATGTTCTTTTAGCGTGTTCAAAGCGCGCAGATGTCCTAAAATATATTTAAAGTTAAAAGCCTTTTAATGTCTCGTTAAAAAAAGATATTAAAGTGATCAATGTTCTATTTCCCTTAAAGACTAAGGTAAACTGTTTAAAAATTAACGCGCTATAGCTTCAAAAGAGCGAACGCGGTATGACTTCTTTGCTGATCTACTTATCGTGTTGTGTTGTCTTGTCATCGGTTTGAGTTAACCATGCATAAAAAATAAAAAAAAAAAGTTATTCGCGAAATGGAAATAGATCGAAAATTAAAGAAAGTATCTTACCCTGACAAAGAGACAAACGTACAGACAAAGAAACAAACTGAACAACAAACGTACAGATAAAATTTCAAACTAAATAAAAGCGTGCACAAAAAAAAAAAAGAAGAAGAAAATATTTTTAAAATCCAAACTTTTGGACAATTTAGCTTTAAAATCCCAAACGTTGCCGGTCAGAAAACATATTGCGTTAGTTTCAACGTTACTTCAAGTGTTTCCCTTCGCATCGTTATCTATTGCACCTATGGCTCTGTAATATAAACCCTGTTCAGAAATTGAAATTTGATAGCGTCTAAAACTTGTTTACTTCTATAACTATAGTGACACCGATTGTATAACTATAGTGAAATCAATGTTATAAATATAATGAAATCAATGGTATACTTATAACAACACCAATGCAATAACTATAGTAACCTCAAAGGTATAGCAATAACGACATCAATGCTACAACTTTAGTTACATCAGTGTTATAACTATGTCGACATCAGTGCTATAACTAAAGTGGCATGTCATAAACGGAACCTAATAATTATGTAACACAAATAAATTTAAATATATGTATGACAAGCCAATCAACTGTTTAGAGAGATCTCAACTTCTATAAAAAAAAATATTTAAACATTTTGAAAAAAAAAATCTATTACGAAAAATAAGGGTTTTCATGTTTTTTTTTTATTTGGATTGAGACAGTTAATAACACTCATCTCGAAAAGCTTGTTGTGTTACATTTTGCCGGATAGATTTCAAATAAGAATACACCATGGTCCTCTTCAATAGACCAAAATAATATATATCTTAAAATCTTTGTTCCTTTCCTTTCAGTCTGCTCGCCAGACATTTACAACCTCGTATCTAATTTCGGAGCCACTTATGAATACAAAGGAAGAAAATACGAGTCTTCCTATGAAGGTTTCAGAAGTTATGTGGAATCGGAGTCCGTGTGTGAGAGCATATGCGGCCACCTGGCGGTCATGGACGACAAAGAGGAAGAGAATTTCATCAGGGGTATGATGGAGACAAATAGATTTGAGTGTCTCTTGATCGCGGGGAGGAAAGCGGAAAACGGCAAGGAATTCTTTAAACTTAAAGGGAAAGAACCACTAAAATACATCAACTGGTCATCGGATCAACCTGAGGAGGCTGATGACCGCATCGAACTCTGTTTATTTTACAAGAGGGGTATCAGTGGGATGGTGAGGATGCCCTGTGCTCAAGTGCAACAAGACTGCAATTACATCTGTAAAATCTAGTTTGAACAAAAATAAAGAAGTTACTTTTTTTTTTTAAACTTATACAAAAGTTAGCCAATTTCCAGTGATACACTATAAAAAAAAAAAAAGGACTCTTTAAACGAAATCCTTTAACTTATTTAACTTAATTGAGTATATTTGCTTTTGTTAAGAATACTATATAGTTTAATTTAAGGCGTATCAAAACTTGCATTTCATTTATATTAAAAAAAAATTGAACTGTGGTGGTCTGTGTGTTGCTGAGTTTTTGAAGAGAAAAAAATGAAGCTTCCTCTATTGAACAAACAATAGTAAAAAAAATAAACAAGTAAAACAAAAATTAAAACAGCTGCAAGGCCAGCATCCATGAAAGGCATAAAGGGGATTTTGGCTTTTGGTTGACACGTTCCATGTTTTGTTGCGTCTTTTCTTATCAGTTTTCCCATGCTTTTTATCGCTCATTCATTTTTCTAACCAAAAGCCACATCGCTATACTAATTCAATCTAGTATAAATCACATCGAACTACTAAAATTTAGCTAGAAGACGCTTACGTTTAGAAAGCAAGTAATTTGTTGCAATGAAAGTAAATACAAGGAATAAACAAAACTAAAGTATGATCATTAAATAAAATGCTTATACAAAAGGTCAAACAGTTTCCATAATCATGAGGCATATAGTACAGCTGTTGTCTTTTATAATTTTTTTTTTGGAAACTCCTAACAAAGCGCATTTATTAAAATAATATTATCCAATTACCAGCATGAAATCCACTAAACTTTCAAAATTTAAAATATAACTATGTTTAATGCTTTAGTCTTGGAGCTAAAGTTTGTTCAAACTTTTGTGAACAGATAAAAAACAACAAAACAACAATAACAACAAGAATTCCGATGAAAAAATGGACATTACATTTAATTGAACTGTGAAAATAAAAATGAAGCCCCGGGTAAATTTTAAGCGTTCATGAGGTACTCCATTAAATTTCATGTGACATTGGTACACTTACCAATATTCAATCATTCCAATTTAATGATATTGCCTTTTTTTCAATCAATTATTTCGACTTAGGTCTAAGGTATTGGGTAATGTCATTGTCTAAAGTTTCAGATTATCTGTGGCTTAACTGGGCATTAGCGTCAGGTGCATCTGAAAAAAAAAATTAATTAAAATAATAAAATTTAAAAAAAATATCTGTCTACCTATCTCAAAGAATTTTTACTTACAACGTCATGTAGTCTAATATTTAAAATGCAAACATTTTGTAACTGAATTTTGGAGACTTTGAAGAATCAAATAAGAAATATTGAGAAGGTGTTTAAATGATTTAATCAACCCTGTTGCTTTAAAAAAAGTATTCTAGAAACAGTTATAACAATGCATAGTATGGTGTCCACTTTTACTGGGAGACTCTGCGGCTATTTAGACGTTGGATGGTCGTATTCCGGAAGAGCTGCTGCACAAACGATGAATGACAAGACATACTGAACCACTGCGTCCGAGTGAGACTGGATGACGTGACGTGAGGCAAGCCAAACTCATTTTCTCGAAGGGTTGATGACCTCTGATGAGCGTTCCCGCTGGAGAACAAATCAGTGAGCGTTTGAAGACAGGCAAAAGATGCACGAAATTCGGGCCTGCCATTAGACAAAGTGAAATAATTACGTCTGAACCACACTAGACGTCAAGGTTTGCAATTTCAATACAGGGAGATCGTCGCGGTTTTTTATTCCTTTTCGTCATTATCAGCGGCAGTGGTAAATTTGCGAATATTCTCTCTCTATTATGAATCCTATATTTATGACGGACAGAGAGAGAAGGAGAGAAAGAGAGACAGAGAGAGAGAAACAAAGTGAGAGAGAGAGAGAGAGAGAGAGAAAGAGATTTGATTAATAAAGGGAGCATAAGAAAAAAAGAGATTTAGTGAACAAAAATAACAAGAGAAAAAGAGACGGACTATGCGTGTCTGATAGAACGAGAGATGGATAAACGACAAAGATGAGCAAGGTGCAATAACTATTTTAGTTTTTTTTTTTAAAGTATACCAAATCGCAAAAAAAAAAAAAAGAACAAAACAACAACAAAGGCAACTTCTTTTTTGTGACTGAATTCAATTTATTATTTTTTTGTAATTAAAGTATACCAAATCGCAAAAAAAAAAAAAAGAACAGAACAACAACAAAGGCAACTTCTTTTTTGTGACTGAATTCAATGTATTATTTTTTTGTACTGTTGACTTATTGAGTAGAATCACCATGCACACATGATACAAGGAATGGTAAACTTGATGCTACTCTGTCATCTCACGTGGGCGTTTTGCATTAGTTATCCTTTCATTAGGATGTACGAGTGCATGTAATATGGATTAACCAGGTCATTAAAACCTTAAAAAAAAAAAACATAAGTATGTAGAGTACTTAGAGTGTCAGTACGAGGAATGTGCTTATTCCAGGTGTACATCGTTTAAACACTTTTCTACATAATGGTGTTTATTTTTTAAACAGTTGCAAAGGAAGAAAGGAGAGCTTTTTTAAATAAGTGGTTGATATTTGGACTTATTTTAACCCCCAACTAATCTTTTGTGGAAGGATGACAATGTAAGGACAGCATTCAAGCTGAGTGAAGGAAATAGTAGAGCAAGGCATGTGGAAATAAATACTGAACGCTGATTTTACATATCAACATTTATACAAAATATAAATAAGCAAATATATATATATATATATATATATATATGTTTATATATATATTAAATTTATAAGTTAAAGATACTTTGTTTTTTGTGGTTTTGTTCCACATACATTTTACATGGATTGATGAATCTCGACCAATTTTGGCACACATATCCATCGTTATCCGAAAGGAACTGTTAAAGACTTATACACATTTTATAACATTCCTCTTGTGGTTGGGTCCGAAAATTTCGATTTTTTCCTATATAAGCGACATAATTAAGCTTAGCACCAAATACTCCTACACAAATAGAAGGATCTTGACCAAACTTTGTTACACACACACTTGATTATCAAATAACCAAGGTAAAAACGCATAATACCCGTGCCTCAGCGGCTGGGGGCCCCGTTTTGATTTATTTATAAGCTATATAAATATCAAAATGCGTAATACTCCTACATGAGGAGATTGGTCGTGCCCAAAGCTAGTACACATCAGTGGCGTAGCAAGAAGGCTGTTGGGAGGGGGGGGGGTTGAGGAACGAAACCGGTGACACTATCCCAGGGGGTGACACAAAATGCAAAAATGCATATTTAAAAAGAACACACTATTCAGTCTAATCGAATTTATTTTTGGGAAACTGTTCAAAAATATAAATATCAAAATGCGTAATACTCCTACATGAGGAGATTGGTCGTGCCCAAAGCTAGTACACATCAGTGGCGTAGCAAGAAGGCTGTTGGGAGGGGGGGGGGGTTGAGGAACGAAACCGGTGACACTATCCCAGGGGGTGACACAAAATGCAAAAATGCATATTTAAAAAGAACACACTATTCAGTCTAATCGAATTTATTTTTGGGAAACTGTTCAAACATAAGTTTTTCCACACACATAACCAGTTCGAATGCGTGCCCAGTTAGAATTCAAGTATTAAAAATTCGTTCAAACTGAGATGACACTATAATTAGGTCAGAAAAACACCATTCTTATCACGATGTAACGCCGATTTAAGAGTTTCTTGATAGGAAGCTAAATATATATAATATATGTAAAATAAAGCTTGCCATTTATATTAACTTTTTAAATATTTTTTTTTGGAGTGTTCCCTCAGAAGTACTGCAATACTACGGTAGTCTCTCCCAATAATTCCCTTGCGGGTCTCTTTGCATTGCTCCCCTATACCTGTGACAGGGATCGTCCCGACACATGCCTTCACAAAGCTGGATAGACCACACATTGATCTTAGCCAAAAGGCCGAGAAGCGATATTAATTACGATTTAGTAATGCAATTATAAGTAGCCTACCTGAATCGAATCAATAAAAAATAGTTAAAAAATTTAGAAATGATGTTTTACTCATTTATAGGGTTTAGGAAATAAAATAATGCACACTTTTCTTATATATTTAATATTTTATTTAAATCTTTTAAAACGTTTTTTATACAATATATATATCAAATTCAAATACCAGAAATGCTCAAAATTAGTATATTAATAGCTGCCTCACTAGAACTTCCCCTTAATATTTTAGGTCGATTGTTATACTGCGCAATGACATTTGCATACTGTCTGCAATTTCAGTCGGTCAGGGTTTGGGGAGCTCGATCTTATTGCATGGGCCCTTGCTCAGAGGAGCTCAATGCTATTGCAATGGCCTTGGGAGTCACTCACCAGTACCGTGCTAGATGAGCTCGATCTCCCTGTCTCTGTCTTTATGGAAAAGAATGACAAAATATAGGTTTTGCTAAAATATAGACACACTTTTTTTTTTATTTTTCATAGAATGTTTGTCATGTTTGACTGTGAATTATATTACATGAAGAAATTTTTTTTTTTTTTTTTTTTAAATTATTTTTTAAAACAAGAATTTTTCCCCCTTTATCTTTTTTAAAAAAATATAAAAATTTTTCTAAAAATACCTTTTTTTTTTTTTTTATAGAATTTTTTTTTTGTTTTACTTTGAATTTTTTTTCATTAAGAAATTTTTTTTTTTTTTTTTTTTAAATTATCTTTTAAAACAAGGATTTTTCCCCCTTTATACTGTGTAAAAAAATATCAAAATTTTGCTTAAAATGACATTTTTTTTTTAAAATCTGTAATTATATTTTTATTTGTATAACCAAGAAAATTGTTTTCTTTTTTTTTAAATATGATAGCTGATTCAAAGATAAACAAGTTAATGTATATAGGTGAGTAGAACTATTTCAGATAATTAATTTTTTAAAAACTTTATCTTAAGATTTAAAAAAAAAACTTTTAAAAAAAGTCAGACTTCAGAAAGTTCACCAGGTTGAACTTTCAACTGACCGGGCACTCCTGACATACAACTCATTTTCCAACAGGCGTCATAATTTGTATACTAGAAAACTGTAATAAAACTAAACATTTAAAAACTTGAATGGCTTCTCTTTGTATTTATCTTCCTATAACAAGCATTATAAATACCGTCCTATGACAAATTCAATAAAGTGCCGTTCTAGTTATGCCAGGGATAGTAGCCCACTACAAAACCAACTCGCACACTTAAAGGGGTCATGTTTTAAAAGTTGTCCCATTACAAGAGTTTTCAAATAGTTAAAAAATGGCAAAAGTCTGTATCTATTA